TGAAGAAGACATCTCCATCTACCCTTTAATAAACCAAAAGCTTGTTCTACTTTGATTCTTGTTTGTGAATGTTTACGATTGAAATATGTTTGTTTTTGAATTAATCCTCTACCTATATCTTTATAAGGAACTATTAACCAACTAAGATTCGGATATCCTCCATCACCTAATATGTATTTATTATTAAAAGTTGTTACTAAATTATTAAACTTATTATATAGATTAGAATTTACTAAAATTCTACTATCATGTGTAGAACCTGGCCAACCAACACATATATCTAAAAAACTTTTTTTATGGTCAACTACTGCTTGTAAAACAATTGAATAAAATCCTTTTCTATTAAAATAATCTACAGGAAATAGATGAGGTGCTTTAATTGGTATATGACTACCATCAATAGCTCCAATAACATTAGGAATTCTTCCAGTACCTTTGAATCCATTTGTAATTTCATTAATTTCTGATTCTGTATTTGGAAAAACAATTTTTTCTGCTAGAAATTTTGTAACTATTACATTAATAAAATCTCTTAATGCATAACTAAAAGTTGATTCTCCCATTCCAAACCTATTACCTATAGACCTAAAACATTCTCCAGTAGCAAGAAACCATAATGATGCACCAACCTTTTGTTCCCATGCAAGTCCAACTATACCAGGTCCTGTAATTTCTCTTCTTAAATGTGGTATTATTTCACAGCATAACCATTCAAATGTAGACCTGGTTAACCTAAAATGTCTTTTAAATTCAAAATCTTGCATATTTAAACATATTTCATTAAACCAATACTGAGATATTGATCTATTTAATCTTCTTAAATTGATGCACTCATTAATTTCTATTCTATTAAGTTGTAAATATAGCAAGTTTAAAGGTAAAATGTTAAAATTTTCTTCCTCTTCTTCTTGTTCAGTTTGATAAGTAGCAATTAAATTTTCTTCAAATTCATTATATTTAATAAGTATAATAATTATTAATATACAAATTGAAATTTGGAATTCCCTGTTCATTACTGAGAAAATAATATGTAATTATAAAAATTTATGTAAAATTTTAAAAGAAAGTACGAAAAAAAAAATTTTTAAAGCATAACGGTAAATCATTAATCTAATGTAACACAAAAATTTGTGAATCAAGATTGAAACGTTAATCTCAATTTCAAGCTGATCTCAATCCCAATCTCAATCCCAATCTCAATCACGGGTTTTGTGAAGACCCCCAATATATTTAAAATTGAATTTAATAAAATATATTAATTAATAAATATATTTTATAAATTATATATGTTATAATAAAAATTTAATTAGGTTAGAAGATTGATTTGCTTATTTTTATATAATTTTTAAGGTTAGATATCAACAATGCTTAGCGATTATAGTAAAAACCTATGCTTAGAGCTACTAATAAAAAATATTTTTGGAACCTTACCTATATAAGTATTTTCTGGGGTCCTGCATAATGCGTAATGTTTGATTAAATAATTTAATAAATTGACTATAAATCATATATGTCAAAATTTGGCCAATTTTTAATAATTTCTGAAATTTGGCTGAAATGTATAACAGATCAGCTGATTTGTTACATGGTCAAAAGTTTTTATTTCGACCAGTGATTGTATTATCATTAATTTCTTGATAGTCATCCAGTTCTTCTGAATAAGTATCTACAGTCAAACTTCGATATACCGATATTCTATATACCGATAATTGCTTTTAACGATAAATTTTTATTGTCCCATTTCACAATTAATAAAAAAACCTCAATATATCATATTATATATAAATTCGCGTTGTAACATATAACGATACAAGTTCTTTGTCCCTTTATAGTATCGAATAGTAACATTGTATCGATATTTAGGTTACACATTCACGTGCACTTATCTTTTTTTGCTCTTTAGATGCATGCAACATTTCGGTATCTATGAAATATCATTCTTGAAATAATGCATTTAATGAAAGTATCAAAAATCAAAAAAATACATTTCGCGTTTTATACAAATCATGCCTCAACTACAAAGAAAAAGAAAAATAACACATGATTCATTACAACCAAAGAAAAGAGATGTTTTAACGCACGCGCAAAAGCGTCAACTCTGTTAGATTCTCAGAAGACACCACGGCTTACTTAACAAGAACTTGCAGCCATATACCAAATCAAGCAAAACACTGTCTCTGATATTTTAAAAAACAAAGATAAGTGGCTGCTTGTAAATCCCAATTCAGAAGAAGCAAATAAATAAAGAGAAAGGCCACTTTGCTTTCCTCAAGTGGAAGAAGCTCTTGCGCTGTGGTTAACAAATGCTCTTGCTGCAGGAGTTATAATTAACGGTGATATTTTACGTGAAAAGGCAAAAATTTTTGTGCGAGGGTTTGAAATTGATAATTTTACCGCTTCTAATGGATGGTTAGAGAAATTTAAACAACGCCATCATTTAAAAGAATATGTTAAGTGGGGTGAAGCAAACAGTGCACCATTAGAAACTTTAGAAGAAAAAAGGAGAAAATTACGTGAAATTATCAAGGATTATAACTTAAATGATGTTTTTAACTGTGATGAAACAGGTAATCAAGATCTTCTTCAAAAATCCAAATAATATTCTAACATTTTATGTTACTATTTTCAGGATTGTACTGGGACCTGGAATATTCAAAGACACTAGCACAAGGGCCACTTTCTGGAAAATAGAAATCAAAAAAACGGGTTACTCTTCTCCTTACATGTAACGCAACTGGAACTGAAAAATTGAAGCCGACCTTTATTCACACATACCAAAATCCACGAATATTACGCAGAAAAAAAAGGAAGAATTGCCAGTTAATTACTACTGGAATTCAACAGCTTGGATGCAAGTTTCGATATGGAATGATTATCTTACAAAATTGGATGCACGAATGCGATTACAACATCGCAAAATTCTTTTAATTGTTGATAATGCTCCAGTACATGTCATAAATGAAAATCTAAATTTAACAAATGTGGCTGTGCATTTTTTGCCACTAAACACTACAGCTTACTTGCAGCCCTGTGATGCGGGAATTATTAATTCTTTTAAGGTTAGTGATGGTTTTTTTTTATTCTTTTAATGATTAACATAAATTTTATTTTAAACTTTAATAATTTAGGCACAGTACCGGAAATTACTTATCAGAAATAGGATTGAAGCATATGAAATTTCACAGGAATTAAACAAAGGAGCCACCCCTTTAAATATTCATGATGCCATTAATTTTAGTAGTGATGCTTGGAATTCCGTAAGTCAACGGACAATTTCTAATTGTTGGCGCCATACAGGAATTTTACTGCAGGATGATATAGATGAATCAGATGACGAAACTGATGATGATGATGATCAAGCAATTCGGGATGAAATGGAATTGCAAGATCTAATTGATCAACTCCCATTCAATGACCCTATGAATGTGGAAGAATTTCTTCATATAGATGACTTTTTGAAGGGTAATGAAGGGTTAACGGATGACGAAATTATATCAATGGTAAAATCAAATAACGAACCAGAAATTGATCTGAATGAAGGACCTATGGAAATAATTTCAAAAGGAGAAGCTTTGAGTCATTTGGATAACCTTGTTGTATTTTTTGAGTATTCATCCGATGTTTCTGTTAATCCAAGTGAATTAAGTATATTACAAAAACTAAGACATCAAGTGTTGAAATCATATATTAATAGTTCAAAACAAATTACATTAGATAATTTTATCCAAACTTTGTAATGTGATATTAAATAAATACTAACTGTATTACATGAATAAAAATTATAAAATTTATAAATTTGTATATATGTGAAAAAATTTTTATACCGATATTGATCAACGTACAATATATATATCGGTATATAAGATTTTTATGATATAACGATAATTCGATCTACCGATGATTTTTTCCCAAACCAACAGTATCGGTATATCGAAGTTTGACTGTATACTAACATCTTTTATTAAAGAAGGTTGATTATCATTTCTAAATTTATTATCGAAGTCATACAAATATTGAAATGAAAACTAAAACAAAAAAAGAAAAGAAAAACAAAAGTGTTAGTTAACAAAAAGCAAAAAAAATATGACTAAAGATAAACAAAAAGCTAGAAACACTAAAAAAGGAAACAGAAATACTTGAAGGAAAGAAGTATCTTTAGTTCGCTTATCACCATCATAGATTTCTTGTTTTTCATTGATATTAAATATTAACCTGTTTGATATTTCTTGCAACATTTTAGTATGCAACTTAAGAAGATTTTTATCTTGGAAAGTATGACAAAGTTTTGCAGATAAAAGTTTAGAAGAAAAAAAGAAAAAAAGAAAAAAAAGTATTTTATTAAGTAAAGTATATGGCAATTTGCACAGTAATGAACAAATAATGACATAAATAATTTTTGCATAATTTGGCTAATACCACGTGATTAAACAAAATTAATAAAATCACATGATTTGTGTTTCGCACACTAGTGTATTTTAAGAAATATTCTAATAATTAAACTGATTTTATTAATTTAATAATTATATTTTACATCAAAGTAAAGGTTAGAACTATCCAGAAAAATCTTAGTCAGTTAAAAACTAGTTAATCAAAGGCTTAACCAATTAATTAACTAATTAATATAAAAAATATTTAAAAAATTTTTTTTGCTAAAAATTGTAAAGAAAATTATTTTTCATTAATATCATTATTAATAAATAGAAAAAAAATATCATTATTAATAAATAGAAAAAAAAATTTGGTATTAAAACTTTAGGTTTGAAAATATATGACTGAAATTACTAAGTTGCTGAGGTGTATTAAGTAAATCTAACCAGAATTATAGATTTATAGTTAAAGTAATTTTAACTGGTTAACTGTTTTTAACCAGTTAATTAACTGGTTAACTATGATCATTGAGTAATTATTACATTTTGTTTAGTTTAAACTATAGTTTTTAAATATTTTTTATTTATTTTTTTTTAATTTATACATAAAATTATATTGTAAATAGCTAAAAGTAAATTATATATATGAATAATATTTTTTTTTATAATTTAACATTTTTTACATATATTATAATATAATAATGAATTTTTATATATAATTTATGATATATGATATATTTTGACAATATTAAACGTGTTACAAAAAAATTTTATTTTAATAAAATGCAGTACTTAACATATTATAAGTAATAATATTTATTATACGTTATTATATATATGTTATCACTTTTGGTTATAATATCATAAACATAATACATTGTCATAATTAAATCGATACAATTTAATATCTTGTGATTACCAATTCCTGAAACTATAATGATTAAAAAACATAATTGTTCTGTTTTTTCGCCGCAATTAAACGATTAAAAAATTAAACAAATTTGACGATTTAAAGAAACGATTTTTTTAATTGTTCCTTTTATACCTTAGAACGATATCTTTAAGTTAAAAATCATCTTGCATTATCATTTAATTTCTTTTTATGTAAGATAATCTTACTAAAAAATTATTTTTTTTTTTTTTGGTTATCATATCTTATGCAATCAGATTTTATCTTTTGCATCTTTACACAAACAAAAACATCATTTTTTTACTTACAACTTGTTACGTAAAAAAAAAAAGGTGGGTATAATACGATTTACAACAATACTAAGGTTTCAAACTAATGTAAACAAAAAGACTGAATAGGTATAATAATTAATAATTATTCCGTCAGTTTGAATTTTTTTACAATTGGCGTTCATATATATGCAAGAATTTTTATTTTATGCTTACACTAAAAAAATTTATTTTATATTATTGGAAAAAAAAAAAAAAAACTAAAAAAAAAAAAAAAAAA